TGTAACAGTCCTCGCACAAAGTCGTCAAACCTTCCGACCAGTATGCCCCATATTTAACAGTCCTCGCACAAAGTCGTCAAACCTTCCGACCAGTATGCCCCATATTTAACAGTCCTCGCACAAAGTCATCAAACCTTCCGACCAGTATGCCCCATATTTAACAGTCCTCGGACAAAGTCGTCAAACCTTCTGACCAGTATGACCCATATTTAACAGTCCTCGCACAAAGTCGTCAAACCTTCCGACCAGTATGCCCCATATTTAACAGTCCTCGCACAAAGTCGTCAAACCTTCCGACCAGTATGCCCAAAATTTAACAGTCCTCGCAAAAAGTCGTCAAACCTTCCGACCAGTATGCCCCATGTAACAGTCCTCGCACAAAGTCGTCAAACCTTCCGACCAGTATGCCCCATATTTAACAGTCCTCGCACAAAGTCGTCAAACCTTCTGACCAGTATGCATCATGTAACAGTCTTCGCACTAAGTCGTCAAACCTTCTGACCAGTATGCCCCATATTTAACAGTCCTCGCACAAAGTCGTCAAACCTTCCGACCAGTATGCCCCATGTAACAGTCCTCGCACAAAGTCGTCAAACCTTCCGACCAGTATGCCCCATGTAACAGTCCTCGCACAAAGTCGTCAAACCTTCCCACCAGTATGCCTCATGTAACAGTCCTCGCACAAAGTCGTCAAACCTTCCGACCAGTATGCCCCATATTTAACAGTCCTCGCACAAAGTCGTCAAACCTTCTGACCAGTATGCCCCATATTTAACAGTCCTCGCACAAAGTCGTCAAACCTTCCGACCAGTATGCCCTATATTAAACAGTCCTAGCACAAAGTCGTCAAACCTTCCGACCAGTATGCCCCATATTTAACAGTCCTCGCACAAAGTCGTCAAACCTTCTGACCAGTATGCCCCATGTAACAGTCCTCGCACAAAGTCGTCAAACCTTCAGACCAGTATGCCCCATATTTAACAGTCCTCGCACTAAGTCGTCAAACCTTCCGACCAGTATGCCCCATATTTAACAGTCCTCGCACAAAGTCGTCAAACCTTCTGACCAGTATGCCCCATATTTAACAGTCCTCGCACAAAGTCGTCACACCTTCTGACCAGTATGCCCATATTTAACAGTCCTCGGACAAAGTCGTCAAACCGTCCGACCAGTATGCCCCATATTTAACAGTCCTCGCACAAAGTCGTCAAACCTTCCGACCAGTATGCCCCATATTTAACAGTCCTCGCACAAAGTCGTCAAACCTTCCGACCAGTATGCCCTATATTAAACAGTCCTCGCACAAAGTCGTCAAACCTTCCGACCAGTATGCCCCATATTTAACAGTCCTCGCACAAAGTCGTCAAACCTTCCGACCAGTATGCCCCATGTAACAGTCCTCGCACAAAGTCGTCAAACCTTCCGACCAGTATGCCCCATATGTAACAGTCCTCGCACAAAGTCGTCAAACCTTCCGACCAGTATGCCCAATATTTAACAGTCCTCGCACAAAGTCGTCAAACCTTGCGACCAGTATGCCCAATATTTAACAGTCCTCGCACAAAGTCGTCAAACCGTCCGACCAGTATGCCCCATGTAACAGTCCTCGCACAAAGTCGTCAAACCTTCCGACCAGTATGCCCCATATTTAACAGTCCTCGCACAAAGTCGTCAAACCTTCTGACCATTATTCCCAATGTAACAGTCTTCTCACAAAGTCGTCAAACCTTCCGACCAGTATGCCCAATGTAAAAGTCCTCGCACAAAGTCGTCAATCGTTTCCACAAATGTCCTATCAATCCTAAAACGAACAAATGTGCCAACAGCCATATCTAACACTAACTTCAGAAACATAAAAACATCATCGCTATACGAGTATCTTCACCTGTATGTTTCCCCACTACATCTCACAGCAACGGGCTCTTACCGATTTCACATTAAGGCATTTTTGTCAATTCAAACCAAGCTTAGGCGTCGGTAGAATGCAAGTACGGTGTCCCCCAACAAGCGGTCCCCTCCGAAAGCTCGCGTAGAGCTTGCGCTCCCCTCAGCATCATAACGGTTCAATCTGAACCGAGAACCTCCAGCCTCCTTCGCTCTTTCTCGCATCAAAGGCTCATTCCACACACAGGCCCAGACCTGGTTTGTGTATTGAGCTGATTATGTAACCCATCAGTGGGGGACGGGGTTAGGGGCGGGGGGGGCTGTGGTATGCAGAAAATGATTGTGGGGTGATGTATGGCTGCGGAGAAATGACAGCGTGCACTCTCGCCATATGGAATACACTGTAGCCTGTATGCACAACCCATGACATCGACGCTTTGCTTCCTGAATGGGGTACCACTAGAGAACGCTCGGAAATGATGGGGAGAGGGAGATTTGGGGGATGGGGGATCAAGGAAGACAGCAAATTGGCGTGAAATGCTTGAATGGGGAACCTTGTCGGCCCTGTGTTGACGTCTCACTTCGCGTGCAGTGTTACCTCTCAAACAGAACTACAAACACCTACTCTGTAAGCAATAGAGGGTTTGGCGCCAGAGAAAGAACAACGGACGTAAACGCAATGTCAAAAAGAGTGTACGTTTATTATATACACGTCGACTTGGAAAGGTTTAAATCAGTTATGAAGGCATTCCTAGACGTGTAATACTATTTAAGAATCTGTTCTAGTACTTATGTCGGCTTAACAAGTGTGAGGCTAACGTACAATCGTGTATTAACCTTGGCCTAAATATTTGGAGCCTTGGAGACTCACCATAATAAATGTTGGGGTTTCCAGGCGACACAGTGGGGGTGCCGGAGTAACCAATGTTCCATCCTGTGTGTGGTACCTTCCTTATAGACCCGTTAAGATCCGGGGTAGAACAGGTCTTCAGCAACACATGGTTGCTGTAAAAGGCGACTATGCTTGTCGTAAGAGGCGACTAACGGGATCGGGTGGTCAGGCTCGGTTGATGCATGTCAGCGTATCCCAAAAGCGTGGATCGATGCACATGATGTCAATCACTGGCTTATCTGGTCCAGATTCGATTATTTACAGTCCGCCGTCATATAAATGGAATATTGCAGAGTGCGCGTTAAACTACAAACAAATAAACAAAACCTTCCTTATGCTATGGTAGATTGGTTGAATAGCAACTTGCGTTAAGAAATTCGGACAAAGACTGTTCAAACACCAACTGTTTTTCTTATCAGGCCACAAAAATTCAGATGCAACCCATGTTTGTTATTATTCAATCATTCACCATCCATAAACTTTTGCAACAAATGGGACTTGCAGTAGGAATTATTTGTGTCCATTCTAATTCATATATGCGTTTTCGACGCGATGATTTGCGTCAGGTAAAACCCTGCCGTAAAGTTATCATTCACAGAATGCGCCGCGATACACAACCTGACTTAGTCATTGGACTTGAGAAATAAGTCCTTATATCAAAGTTCGCTGCCAAATGGTTGTTATTCCATGTTAACGGATTGATGAATGCGAAACGTATTCTATTCAATTCCCAATACGGGGAAAACTCAAACTAATTACTGTTGCGGTGATAAACAGATTTGTATTCTTGGTAAGCGGTCTTTAGTGAAGTGCTATCAGAGACAAACTCGTACCCAGGGGACATGTAGCGCCCTCTATCGCCGGACACAGACATGTAGCTTTAATATATTACTACGCCAAGCTGTCAGAGCTCCTTAAGATCTAACGGTTCTTTGGCGTATTTAGCTGTAGGGGTGTGACATACCAAAGGCGTTGTAATACACTCTTGTATTATTGTCCGGAGCTTTCATAGCATGTAGTTAATTCAAACTGCGCGCTGTGAGTCACTGGGTGTAGCATATGTGAGAACATATTTTTCACACGCCGACTATTTGTATTGAAAGAGCTTGCAAAGGCTGCGACACATAAATATGTTGACTTGTGGTCAAACGTCATTCAATATGCGCGACAATGCCAACCATGACCCGACAGTGCTTTGTCCCGATGTTACTATAGCAACAATAGTTCGTGTATATCTTATAGGTGTCGGTGTTATTCTCAAGTGAAATATTTACATAATATTTCCAGCACTGTGCACCTCAAGACGAATATATACAAGTCATTATTCAAGCTCGATGTTTCATTTTTGCCGAAATACAACGCATAACCTGTCGTTAAAAAAGACAATTTCAACCAATAAATCATATACTTCAAAATTCCCATCATTTCAACTCATGACTATTTATTTGCTCAATCCTTGTCATTAATGTATGCATTTTCGATGTCTAATGTACAATTAAGCTGTATTGTAGATTGCATGTCTACTTTAATGGAATGTATGACGAAACATATTTCTTGTCTTAAGATTTGATTATTGATGTATATGAACGTTACTGTACCGTTAAGTCAGATAATTGTTTGATGTCCGAACGCGAGTTACAAGTCTGTAGTCCCTTTTTTCATGTCACTGCAAACGAATGTATAATAGAGCGGACTCTAAGATCGACTGCAGTACCGTTCACGGGCAGTGCTGTACTGGTGTAGGCCCTGCGGGAGGCATAAGACGGTTTCAATTAGTGTGACATGTGAGATCGTTGGCAGTGGGTGCTAGCTTGTCTCTGGGAGCGGTCATATATCTTGTGTTCTCGAACTTTTGAATCGAAGAAACGCGCACCTGTTTACCGTGTTGACATACCAGTTTATTCCGGTCGGGACTTAATCAAAACAGAGTAATCTACGACAGAGATAACGGTTTCCCACGTGCGTGACGATGTAGCGCACAGCTGATGCTGCAGTAGTTGGCAAGAGAATGCCGCCCCTGCTATTGTCCTGACACGAAAGACCATGTGGTTTCAATCTATGAACTTCCTATCTCCACCGGCTCGACTCCATGGGGAGTAGACAACGCGCACATCTCGACAGCCTCAATAGCAATGAGTAAATTGATTTTCCTTTCCTATAAGTCGCAATGTTGAAATACAACCATCACTTGTGTTTTACCTTAAGCAAATCAGAAACGTAAAACGCACTTGTGAGCCAACCTATCATTGTGTGCGTGCTTGGGCCGAATGTCAAGCGCCGCTTTCAGGAATTCCCTATTGACTTGGCGCGACGAGGTTGTCTCCCCCTGAAAAGGCGAGAAGCCAACGTGATCTCAAGCGAGTGCGAGTACGTTCGGTTGGCTGTGATTGCAAAGGTGTGTAGGTAAGCTGCAATCAACAGTAGCGGGATCTACCAGGAAATATGTGATTATACCGGATTTCTGTTCCACTATCAGCGAGCGGGTCTATTCAGGGTGCCCCAACTCGGATACATATCTGTACAGCGGCGCACGAGATATTCGCTTGTCATTCAACATTTAATTGATTTTGTTGCGAAAACCATCTCGTGCACCCCGTGCTCTCGTGCAGCCGTGAAGGATGTAAACAGCCCAGGTGTCAAAGTCTTAAATTTACTCAACCAGCATGGGAGCGAAGGAGGACCCGCCGGACACAATTGAAGAAATCCAAGAAATGGAGACCCAGGTAGGTCTTGATTACGTGATTACAGGTGCGAATATTACCTGGTTGTATTGATTTCTATCACAGGTGCCATGTACAGGTAAGTTCCAGCATCGCAACCAGGTGAGAGGATTAACTGATCAACACAATTCCTGCAAGTCGGCGACAGGATTTATGTTACCGAGTCGGACTTTAGCTCTACATTATTGATATCGGTGTGCATTAAAGCCGATTGACAGGTGCCTGACTCGGGTGAAATGCATTACCCACGCCAACATGAATAGAATCCACGTCAACCCACACGGTTCGTTTGATGATATTAGCACATATGGCGATCTTCATGCTATTGGAGTACGCCAGACCAAGGAATAAGTGTTATAAATAAAGCGTTCTTAATGGCACCAACCTCCACGCGCTGACCTGCAACAATGTCCCAATTATTGATGTTTGGCAATACTGGTATCGATCTGTTAATCGCCTAATCAGATGACAGAACAATGTGTCATGTTAGACATGTTTGTGTGTTTAGCAGCATGCATCTGCCGACCATATAACGTACTGCTCAAACATAACGGTAACTTGAGAAATGTTACATTTAATTTAAAGACCATTTCTAAACATCAACAGCAATTTTACACACAAAGATTCGGGTATTTCCAATTATACCCGAATCAATCCCTTGTAAAATAATATTGGATACATACAAATATGTGTTAACCTACATTTTCCTGATTAATATTTGCTATTGTAGTCTTGATTTACGAGCCTGCGACAGCCAATGACAAAAAAAGACCCAGGCTGCTTTGATTTATTGATTACAGGTGAGATTAATACAGGTAAAAGCATGAAGGCAGCGATACCCCAAACCATGATTGTTAATATTATAACACTTGATTGCGAGTCAAATATACTTGGTAACAGCTGTTGGATGAATCATACCCACAATCAACCATTTCCCCCACAAAATATTTCTAGGGTCATATTAATGGGTTATTTAATGGAATCCATGTAATATATCCCGCGCATATTGTCAACAAAATCAATAAACAACACTTATATCAGCTTACTGTGGTTACCGCATCTCGCGTCGTTCGTTGTGCACTATCAGATCTATTTGTCAGTAATCCATGGTTTGATATATAGAAAATCTGATAGGATACGACAAACAATTTCTGACTATTTAACAACGGAATTGTAGTGATGTTATATGGATTTCTGGGAATAGCTGGCGGTAGTTGATATCGGTTTGCACCCCTTGGCGAGCTGGCCGAATCACGTGGGTTGTACATATCACGACAATTGCGGAGAATGTCGACAACCTGCCGACATCATGCGTGCACTTGTAGCGTGCATGTCACGTCGATACATATATTTATATTCATAGCGGTAAATGCGTGCAGCTGGGCAATATAATGTATAATGCCGTTTAATCATATATTCTTTTTTCACGCTGTATGCACGCGCAGTGGGCTATTTTGTTCAATATAAAATATTTTAATAATATGTAAGAACGTAACTTGCGTTATGGTCATGTATGGATATTAATATGAAATGTTGTTCATTTGAGAATATGTGTTTGGAATAGCGTATTTTAAGAAATATAACGAGAGAATCTGACTCACAAGTGTACAAGAATAATAACATTTCACTCATGACAGTGTCATCCGATATTGCTGAAATCTGAAGTCTGAATGTCGGACATACTCGTCGTGAAATGAGACACCAATTGTTATAGCCCCGGTCTGTCTGTGCGACCCAGCTGGCAATACTTCATATATATATCAATACATATATCACACCCCATATGTCAGCATACCGTTTAGCCATCGATTACAGCATTGCGACTGTCATTTCACCGCAGAAAGTGTAAATTAGACATCTAATTACTATAGCGGGGCTTAATACCGTGTATTTCCCTTGCTATTGACAACTGTCGATTACAAAATCTGAAGCCGTGTCTGACATATACATGATAAAAGAACATGGTTTAAAATGTGTCGCTTTGCATACACATATTTAATGTTCAGATTTGTATGTTTTAACAGTGGTTACATTGATACTACAACATAGGATGACGCCACAACCAACACAACTGCACAAGTGACAGTTGGTGTGTATTTCACATCCCGTCCATCCTCGCTATAAGACCTAACCACGTGTGACGAGTATACATGGATACTTCTATGGGGATACTTCTATATATATATGCTATTCTTGTCAACCATGTATATATATATATATATATATATATATATATATATATATATATATATATCCAGACGCGGATATAATAAAATATATATTTAATGTATGATTCATACTAGTAAGGGTAAGGTTGTATTTGCCTGTACAGATCTCGACAGCAAACTGTATCTACAAATAGAATATATTAAACACATGTCTGTTACACCCTCTGACATATGCGATATGTAATTAACAAGAAGCCTGAAAGAGGAGTTCCCGTAGTGTAAGGCTTTTAGTAATGACTGTTTAGTTAGGCGATCTCTTGTATAAGAAATGAAGCACCACGCGATTTTCGAAATGTACACACAAAATATTTGTTATGAAATTAAATAGATAAAAAGGTATTTGTTGTTCTACAGCAGTGCTCGAAAATTTTCGTCTCCTGTTTTTGTTGCTAAAGATGGATGAGACTAAAGATTCAACAAATCAGATGTATGGAGACACAGTATACGCCAGTAAATTCTCATATTCTAGCTTAACGTTAGAAAAAGGGTTTCACATTCGTTCATATAAAACTCTGAGGTTATTTTCAGCAATGCGAATACTGCACAGCTTGACAGGTGAAATCAATCTCATTACATAATGTTACGTTTTTGTCCAAGATTGTTTTCGTTAAAACGTTCTCTTTACACGAAGATAATGGGTTTGTTTAGATGTTATTGTCAGTAAACATATACTAAACACGCCAGTAAACACGCCAGAAATCTGATTATTTCTGTGAGCTTTTGTTTATAAGTGGAGTTGACTTGCAATAGTTTCGGGAGCTTCTCAAGTTTTAAATGTCAAAGCCCAAGCTATGTACTTTAATAACCGGCTGATACATTTTACTGTATGCTGCGAATGCATGCATACTGGGTTTCCGTGGAGGAAGCATGAGCTGTATAAACTGTGCGTTTCCTTACCAGGTATATAACGGTACATGTATATATACCACGGCAGTGGAGGAGGGAGCATGAGCTGCATAAACTGTGCGTTTCCTCACCAGGTATATAACGGTACATGTATATATACCACGGCAGTGGAGGAGGTAGCATGAGCTGCATAAACTGTGCGTTTCCTCACCAGGTATATAACGGTACATGTATATATACCACGACAGTGGAGGAGGAAGCATGAGCTGCATAAACTGTGCGTTTCCTTACCAGGTATATAACGGTACATGTATATATACCACGACAGTGGAGGAGGAAGCATGAGCTGTATAAACTGTGCGTTTCCTTACCAGGTATATAACGGTACATGTATATATACCACGACAGTGGAGGAGGAAGCATGAGCTGTATAAACTGTGCGTTTCCTTACCAGGTATATAACGGTACATGTATATATACCACGACAGTGGAGGAGGAAGCATGAGCTGTATAAACTGTGCGTTTCCTTACCAGGTATATAACGGTACATGTATATATACCACGACAGTGGAGGAGGGAGCATGAGCTGCATAAACTGTGCGTTTCCTTACCAGGTATATAACGGTACATGTATATATACCACGGCAGTGGAGGAGGGAGCATGAGCTGCATAAACTGTGCGTTTCCTTACCAGGCATATAACGGTACATGTATATATACCACGGCAGTGGAGGAGGGAGCATGAGCTGCATAAACTGTGCGTTTCCTTACCAGGTATATAACGGTACATGTATATATACCACGGCAGTGGAGGAGGTAGCATGAGCTGCATAAACTGTGCGTTTCCTTACCAGGTATATAACGGTACATGTATATATACCACGGCAGTGGAGGAGGGAGCATGAGCTGCATAAACTGTGCGTTTCCTTACCAGGTATATAACGGTACATGTATATATACCACGACAGTGGAGGAGGGAGCATGAGCTGCATAAACTGTGCGTTTCCTTACCAGGTATATAACGGTACATGTATATATACCACGACAGTGGAGGAGGTAGCATGGGCTGCATAAACTGTGCGTTTCCTTACCAGGTATATAACGGTACATGTATATATACCACGGCAGTGGAGGAGGAAGCAACGCAAGACGTGTACAGAACATCACGTACGTAAACATTCACATCAGCTATGGGGAATTCCTGGAAGCCTGGCCATTCTCACAAATATCAGGCACTAAATTAATCTGAAACCTGACCGGTATGAATGTGTTATGACTCGGGATGTATTATATAGGTGAATGCGCAGTAGTAATATACAGTGACACCTTGTCAACTCGAACGAGTGAGTGAGTATGTTTTTATGCCGCTTTTGGCACTAGTCAAGCATTATCACGTTGAGGGATGCCACAAATGTTTTTCATTCACACGTCGTACCCATTGGGAAAACGAACCCGGGCCTTCGGCGTGACGAGCACGAACGTTTTAACCACTTTTCGCGCCATACTGGAACTAATTTAAATCGATTTGTCGTTTCAATTAATTTTTTTTTATGGTCCTGGTAAAGTTTTATCGACAATATCATCTTTTGTCGGCAATCCCCGTGAAGATTCGGGTTTGAATTGGTCTACAGCAACCCATGCTTGTCGATTGACGGGATCGGATGGTCAGGCTCGGTGACTCGGCAGATGAATGTCATCGTATCCCAAGTGCGTAGATCGATGCTCATGGTGTCAATCACTGGATTGCCTGGTCCTGGCTCGACTATATACAGACCGCCGTCAATTAACTGGAATATTGTTGAGTGGTTAAACAACGATCAAAAAGGCAAAGAAATTATATGGCAATATGGACAAGCCACTGGTCTCGAACTCCGGATAAATCGATGCGACTTTTTCGAATTAACGGTACTTTGTGTACTGGCATTTAAA